TTACTGGTTACTTGCAACTTAGTGACTTGTTCCCACCTCTGTCGTTGAGTTTTAAAGTTTGACGCAATGCAAGCTGCATTCTGCAGTAAGAGGCACTGTAGTGAAAGCTAATGCTTTCCTGCAGTCGACTGACATGGCAGTTTGATGAGTCAACTGCTAAACTGGTTCACATATATATATATAATATATATATATATATATATATATATATATATATATGTGTGTGTTTACACATATTTATACATATATCACTGTTGTCAGAACAAAACCTCTCCATCTCCAAAATGGTAACTTTACAGGAGAAGGAAAAAAAATACTCTACTTTCAGTGTAAGTCAATGGAACCAGACATTATTCCAAGTAATTTTGGCTGGTTTCTTTTGGGGAAACAGGTATTGTCAAATTTAAAAAAAAAATTTGAAAAACGACAAAAATGCAGATACAAGGTTTTCTTCCGACAGCAACGATATATATATATATATATATATATATATATATATATATATATATATATATATATATATATATATATATATAATACATCATTACCTCTTCATTGCATTAAAACAAGTAAAGCTGCGCACTCCTCTGTTGTCCATGTTAGATCCTGTTTACAGACACTTGCAGTAATGCATATTGCATTTATATAAGAATTAATCATCAGCAAAAAAAAACATAATGGTGACTCATCCAGAGTCAGTTCACAAGCTCTGTTGTTAGGTTGAATTTCCCCACTTAAAACTTTCAACACTTAACACAGCTCTTGCAATTTGACAATTGGACTTTCAAATTGAGGTTTCAATATAAAACGGTTCCTCTTTCAGATCTAATTCTGAGGCTGACAGCTTATGCAACCAGTTGCATGTTGCGAGTTGCCTGCAACTTGAACATCACACAAAGCACAATCAAAGTTGAATGCAACACATTCATTTACTCCACTGGTTGGATAAATTAATAGCTTGTATTTTTGATACACCACATCGTTCTAGCTGTATAGTCATCTGCGAGGTGTAATTTACGTTTGCAGCATTTTATCATCTTCGTATATTTTTTCAGCTGTCATTGCTGTTTCTTCTATATCTATATATCTGTCTTTCATCTATCTACAGTTCTTAAATGTACATTTGAGTTCTTTAACTGTTGTATGATAAGCCTTTGAAAATGAATATTTAAGTGTCCATTACAGTCATAGCCCACTTCATCTTGCTCACACATCTTGTCCTAGAAGCACAAAGAGTTCATCAAAAAGCACATCTCACTCTCTCCTTCCCTGAAAATTTCCCACATTTGAATCCCAAATGAATCTGAACTCTGTGTAAAATTAGGAGGCCTTAAAAGAGGAAAAAATTAATCTAGCCACATAAATCACAGTAACAGCAGGCTAGAGAATAAACAGTGTCACAAGCAGTCAACAGCTGTTAGTGTTAGCTGGCTAGTTAATGCAGCTGGTCACAGAAATGCTGGCTTGTTGTTGCGGCTCAGGAAACTGACATAGTTTTAAAAAACTTTGATTGAGTCAAGGGGGTGTCTCTTTTTTAGCCACCCAATAAACCAGCCATGTCAAACTGGGGACCTTCCGGGCCAAAGTGCTGCGGAGATTAGCGTTTACCCTCATCTAACACTGAATTCAGTTCATGAAGTCCTTGCTAATTAGCTGATGAGCTGCATCATGTGTGTTTAATGAGGCAGTGTACTGAAGTCTGTAGTGTTTTGGCCCACAAGGACTGTAGCCTGACACGTGTACAGTAAACCGTCTGCTTTTCTTGTCCACTGATCTGGGGAAACCAGCGTTTAAAAGGATGTCCTTCGCTGTGATCATGGCTGTTTTGATTTCATGAGACAGTTGCAACTGTTTCGAGTAAGTTACAGAACATTTTACTTTATGCAACTCAGGTGCAATTCATGTAGGTTTCAAGCAACTAATGTTGCAAGGAGGTTTCACTGTGTAAAGCCAGACTAAGGGCTAAGAGAGGTTGGAAAATGGTAATGTAAAACTGAATAAAACCACACACACATATATATATATATATATATATATATATATATATATATATATATAATATATATATATATACATATATATATATATGTGTATATATAGGTAGAATGAAGGTGAAAAAAATGAATATACAAGGAAAATGTAGCATATGGGCCCTGTAAGTGTTGTTGGTCTTCATGTTGCGTGACTGCTGGTGTCAGTTTCGAGATTGCTGTATTCTCGTGGGAAATCACACAGCTAACACTGGACTGGAACTGTGTTTGGAGTCATCTGCAGCTCACAGTCTACTCACAGTCCTGTTGTTATTATTGGCAGGATTGCTCTCCCAGCAGGACTCTTAAAGCAGATATTGGCTCACACAATGCTGGCTCTAAACACAGACCCCAGACGACAGGAAGCATTGCAGGAACAGGATAGTTCCAATTCTGGAGGTCAGAGGTCACAGCTAATTATGAAGATCATAATGTTCAGGCTCTTTATTTACTCAACACCCCGTGGTCAC